CAAGTCCCAGGCTCCTACACAATGCAACCTAAATATATATAACCCTAAAACAATAAAAATAGTGCAAGAAGAAACAGAGTATAATAAAATAGTGCGAGAGAATGCTACAAGTAATGCAGGAGAAGTAAACTATATACAAAAATAAATACAATAAGCTAAATGTGGCACATAGAATTCAAGGGACATCACTTACAGTAAGCAAGTTTCCATCAGCTTGTTTTTATGCACATGTTCAATCTTTATGCATAAAACACGAGTGAAATCGTAGAAAAAAAGTATTGCAAAAAAAATGATGACCATAATTTGTTGTGTGGTTAAAGCAGATTCAGTGAATACATGATGACGTTAAACATCAGAGAGTGCAGAGTGAAGCTTCACAGGAATAAAAGGAAATAGGAGCGAGCGGAGCGAGGTTAGTCAGCAGGGTCCGGAGGCAGGTGAGCTGCTCAGGTGCAGCTCCATCATTCTGTGCACGTCTGCCATGAAAATAACCTGCAGCGCTGCCAGGACTCACATCCTGCTTTAAAACTAACCCTGCTGCAGTCAGGGTGACAAGTTCCCAGTCCTTTACTCTGAGTTTAAATCAAATAAATCAAAATGCAAATCCATATAGCATCAAGTGACCAATGTGCAGGAAAATGTGTTATTTATTCAATTGACAGAAGAAAAAAAAGGAACCAAAAGGCCCCAGATGTTCTGTTTCCGACATGTGTAAACACTTCAATATCCTTACTATCATTTTCTGAATTGAGGGTTTTAAATGAAGGCATGTTGACGTAACAATCCAAGGTAGACTCATTTGTTTACAGTGTACACCTTTGATTAGGTTAGTTTTCACATTGCAATTAGGCATTAACTTGAGGCTGAAAGCTCTGGGAGAAGTATAAGGTGGACCTTGAATTAAGAAATGGATGTGTTTGAGTGTTCCTCTGGTTATCAATTACAGCTATACTTTAAAGCAGTTTACAAATACATGAATAAACACAACTATATTATGCTTTAAATGTTTAATAAGTGAGAGTTAAAGTGTTTTACTGGGTTTGTTTGGTTCTTGAGATACTTTAAAGAACTGTTCTTTTTAAATAAATCATGCAGAAAATACAAATGAACCGCTAACTATGAAAAACCTGAATAATTTAAAACATTTCGGAGACTTTCTTTGTGAGCATCTCTCTGTCTGCCGGGGCTTTTTAAAACATCAGATAACATGTGTGCTCCTGCCTGTATTTGACCAGAGGGCTGTGTTAGACGTACAGAATTGAATTCAGGTGTAATGAAGGCTTCTGAATGAAAGGAGGTCAGCACATTGTAAACCTGCTGCAGTGTGCTGAACGCTCCCCCGAGCCACAGTCCATTTACTGCTGCTGTCGGCTCTTTTAAAGCCGCCTGCTCTTAGTTCTGTTTTCTCCAAATCCCAAGTCTGCTGAATGAAGTCTGGATGGAGGGAGGAGGAGGCGCTGACCCGTGATGGAGAGCACCGTGGACGGCAGAATGCTATCCAACCTCCTCCAACCTGAAGCACATTTACCGTAACAACTCTTTTTACAAACCTGTAAAGTTACTAGACAGTCAAACATGCTCTCATCAACGTGACTAAGGGGCACATTATGGCTTCATACTGTCTGTGATCTATTGGCTTTTCTCTCTGCTGCCATGTCTGTTGCGTGTTAACGGGTTGTTACAAAGGGCTTTAAACTGGATATATGTGCTTTATTTGTGCAGCAACCGTGAGTCGATTCTTAAAGGTCCCATGTCATGCTTTACCGGTTATTACCCGTCCCCTTGTGTGTTATGAAGGTTTTTCTGCATGTGAACGGTCTGCAGAGTCACACACCCTCAAAGTACACCCTGTAGCGAGTAAAACTCTAACACAGAAAAGACCTGTCAATGCTGCCCCAGAACGCCTCGTTGGGGATTTCTCTTTTTCCATTGTTTGCTTCCTGGGTTCTGTGACGTGTGAACATCCAAATCAACAACAAATGACCGGATTGGCCCAAATGGACCAATCCGCGGAGCACCTCACACACCAGGATCCCTTGGCTAACTAACAGGGAGTCTATGCTGCCCCAGAACGCCTCGTTGGAGATTTCTCTTTTTCCATTGTTTACTTCCTGGGTATAGTGACGTGTCCATACCCAAATGGGCCCATTGGTCCAAATGGACCAATCCGTGGAGCCGTTAGGTTACGTCCGCGGAGCCGTTACGTTAAGTCCGCGGACTTCCTCACACACACACACTTAATCTTTTCTCAGCTGCAGCTCCGCCAATTTCTCCTCCCTGAGACGGTGGGACGCGGCGAGGCTGTGAGTCGGTGTGTGAGCACACATACAAACTCCCAGCCAGGCTGCGGGTGTGTGTGTGTGTTCGGGCTGGTTTCGGGCTGGGTTTCGCTGTCTCGCAGACGGCCACTGGGCTCACAGAGAGGGGGGGGCAGGAGCTCCAACAAGCCGTTCAGGACAGAGAGTGAATACACATACTATACAGAGATGCTGTATGAGAAACCAATGTGAGTTTGGAGCATTGAACAATGTAAATCTATTCTAGTAGACCTCAACAATGGAATTATGATTAGTAGAAATGACCATGACATGGGACCTTTACATAAATAAATATGAATGCAAACCAAACACCACATCTGAATGAATCGGTCACAGAAATAATGTGTCCTAATTAGTTTCTGATTTAAATAATAAACAGCATCACATTTGCATTGTTTGCTTTTAAAATGATAAGAGAAACTGGATCTTCTGTTCTGATTTTGGTCAGTCAGACCTAAACGGAAACAATTTGACATGGATGTATAAAGAGAGCTGGATACAGCGTTAAAGGCGGAACCCTGTTCATTCCTATAAAAGTTGCTCAGTGGTACATGAAGCCAAAATGGCATGTCTGGACACACCTGGTTTTCGCACTCTCAAAACCCACCCTGTATTTACAAACATTTAAATAAGGGAAATTCTAATGTTAGTACTGTTGGTTGGCTTACCAATGTCAAACTAAATTATTTTTGGGGCCCAATGATGTCACGGATTGACACGAGAGTTGTACAGTAGTAACACCGTTTGCCAACTCTGTTTTCCTTTCTAGCTATTTTACAGCTAACCTCTGGACAGGAAGTACATTTGCTGTTCTGGAAAATTGCATTGAATTTCTATCCAAACACAAAAAATGCTCCAAACTTTGCTGTCACAAAAACGTTGCTAGTTTCTGTGTCCTTCCTTCATTTTCTTTTAATTTAATATATTTATTTCAGAAACATGACACATTTTCATTGGAGAGGGATATCTCCTCAGTTGCTTTCCTTTAACTTTATTTTACTTATGCGCCTTATCTGTCCCACTTATCTGCTGCTAGGGTCAAAGTAAAGAGGCTCTTGTAAGTATGACAACATTCAACATGGTACCCTGCTTATAAAGGGTTTTTGATTGGACCATATCTAATCTAATCTGTCTGGCATTTTTAACACATGCCGAAAAAGACAAAAACACAATTTTGGATTACATTCGAAGCTCCCCATTTCCTGCAAATGTCAATAAAGGTTGCAATCTTGCACCAAAACCAGTCAAAGCCAACTCATGGAGAGAATAACTGGTGTCTCTAGCTCGAGATGTTTTAACATCTCTTTGATCCAATGATAAATCTGCAGCACAAGGCTCCTAACAGAGTGCAAGAGGCCAGCAGGTTGCTCTAAAACTCAGATCACATACATCTTAGAACACCAATCACAGCAATAAGAAAGGATCTATTAGCTCATTTTCTATTTCATATAAAGTATCAGAGACATCTAAGACAAGTATCTGACAAAAGGTAAGTCAATCAGTATTAGACACTTCATTATTGATCCCCAGAAATTCAATTTTCATAGCAGCACAAAGACAGAAACAAGATCGCCTTGAAACGGTTCATGACCCTGATATTATTCTAAATCAACATTTTAAAGCGGGTAAAAAGCAGGGATTCTTTTAATGAATTAATTAATTGAAGTAAAAAGTTGAGGATTTGTTTGAGGAGGAGTTTTGTCCTTTTTTTTTAAAAAGGACAAAACTCCTGAGACTGAACCAGAGAGCAAATATACCAAAGCAAAGAAACTATGAGATATTTGTAAAATCCAGGAGGGTGTTAATTATCTTCAGGGTCAACACTGTGAGCACTCTTTGCTATTCAAGTCAATTTGATTCAGAAGACACACAATTAAATCCAGAAAGGTCAGTGGATGTGAATACAACAGAGAGAGTATTTGGCTCAATTACGTAAAGAAAGACTCTGGCAGCCCACGGCCACACGGGGGCCGGGGGTCTATGATAGTTATTACAAATAAATGTTGATGTCCTTCACATTTAAAAAGCTGCAGCAACACAAGGTTATTCACAGAATACATCCCCAGCTATTCCATGTAGAAATGACTCCATGTGCTCTTCATTATGCTTGAAAGGTGAAATTAGCTCAGTCATCTCATGCAGTCTCAGTCTCAAATTGTATCTTGGGCGTCAGTTTGTCGTGAGATTAATACGTGTTTTGGAAAGATATACCTCGATATCCATACAACTGTTTTTTGATAAGACTCAAATTATGAACGTAGACATATACTGTAGGCACATTCTTGGAATAGCTTTGTATGCTGCTCTCGCCTCACAATACTCCAGAAATGGTTTCATTAAGATCTGCCTGATATCTTATTAGGTTGAAAAAATTATTGGAGAGGTTTTAATACGGAGGGACATGGATGAGTTTGTTAGGAACTGGTCCCCAAGAGCACCATACATGACAGAGCAATGGTCCAGTGTTATAACTATGGGCGTAAATATGACAGAATAAGTATTATTCACACATGAGTACCGCACTAGGTTGTTACTGCTGCTGTTTTAGTTTTTCTCTCCTGGTCTGTTTTAGTTTTGTGGGTTTTACTATGTGTTGGTATTGTACCACCTTTTAACGGTTGAAAATAAGACAAATATTGAAAGAAATGTGCTGCATCAGATATATAAAGACAGTGAACTTACAGGCGTAGGTCATGGCGAAGCTGCTGCCGGTGTCCACCATGTCCACCTGAGGGACCAGCTTAGGGATGTCCTGCTGCTGAGCGAGGGCGAAGCGAAACACCTCGTACTCATGGGAGGCCGAGGGGAAGAGACCTCCTGATCACAGAGAGACACAGCGGGGGTTAGACACTGACACAGAACACAGAGGAGGGGCTGCAAACACCAGAGCTGAGGAATGTGAAGGAAAACATACAATCTGTCTGAGCAAATATGTGGCGGATTGAGTCCTAAAACCCAGGAATGAGTCTGCATTTTAAGACTTTCTGTCCCCTGGTATGGAGGTCAATGGTTTTCTGAATGTGTTTTTGGTTGTTATCCTGAAATAAAGTCTGTGGTTAACACAAGATGAAGAAAGTTTTGTTCGACGACACAGAATACTCGAAAAAGAAAAGCCCCAAATCTCCACCTTCAAGAGACTTTAAAGAGTTTAGCAGTAATCCAAAAATGGGGGATTATTTTCTGACGATTGACTCATCAATTTGTTGAATAAAAGTTGCATCTTCACTATAAATAAACTTTAACATTCTGAATGTTTTGGTATTTTTTCCGACTCTTTGGACCTTGGAGGAGGGTCTCGCAGACAGAATTATTCTAATATCTTATTATAATAATTCCTCCACAGCTCTACTGACGGTCTAAAACACAGAGCGACGTTAAGGATTCACAAAGTTTGGCTCATAGTTGCATCGTGCAGCACAAACAGTGATGACACCACGGGCTGAGTTCACCCCTGAAACTAAAAATAACGCGTCTGGTTTGCAGTAATTGCCGTTAAAAGCCTCTTTTCTCTGCACTCACACACTCTCCACATGACAGTTTTTTAGGGTCACGGTGAAATTATATGACTACTTAAACTCTGACTGATTGAGCTACTTGTCTTCTCCCTGGTGAAGTAGGAATACATGTTTTTTATTTGAGTAAAAAGCTGATAAATTATCTTTTACTGTCTCTTTTCAAAGACGCTGTCACGAAGAATAACACATCATTTGGTTCTGTCTCAGGTGGTTCATCGTTTATGGGGCGAAGCCTGCGAGCTAGTTCAGGCAGTCAACTCGAGCACTTATGCTGCATTCATACATAACTTGCCACTCTACAACCAACCAAACAGAGTCTCCTTAATATGCCGCTCTATTGAACCTTCCAGATCTCTCTCCATGCATTGCTTGCTGCAGCTACTTCTACATCGCAGCTGCTTGCCTGCCCCACCACCACCCCAGCTTCCACCCCAGCTTCCACCTGTAGACTCGGAGGGTTAGTTATTTAATCATCACTCATCGTGCTATGTATATCTGTGGAGTGATGAGGCCCGAGCCTAGTCTTCCTTTTTACCATGACAGTAAATTCAATATATTCGGAGTATTTTACCGCTGGATGGACATTTCAGAGTTTTCTCATGCTCAAATGACTATAAAATTAATCAACACTTTAATAAATACTGAAAATAATTGCTAGATAAAATGTGATTGTCCTCTAGTGAAGTCTACCAATTGTTAGAAAAGACTAAAGAGGTTATTTATTATCATTATTTTAGGATTCCTTCCTCCTGAAAGAAGACTGTGAAACAAAATGTCATTAGGCCCGTAGGGTGTGCATTATCACAGTAAGCCTAATAAAATGAAATATTAGACCCCAAACTTTTATAATTTTATGATCATACCAGGGATGGATTCAGATCAGTTAATGCAGTTAAAATAATGAGCTAAAAGCAACAAAGCAGCCATTTAAATAGCTAGCTTAAAGTAAAGGAGTAATTAGATTCAGAATTTAAAGAATAGTTTAAAGTTATAGAGAAACCGTTGGGAAAGCCTTTAAAGGGGACCTATCATGCAAAATGCACTTTTTGATGTCTTTTCTACATAAATGTTCTCATAACTCACGCAGCGTCAGAAAATAAAACCCTCTCTCTTTTCCTCCGTACCCACATCTTTTAAAAACGGGGGTACAACGGAGCTGATCCAGATTTGCTGCCGATATGATGTTCACACCTCCCACAGCCAGTTGGCCAAAGAAAGTCGGCCAAAGAAATCACTCTGATTGGCTGTTCAGCTTAGCGAATCAGTGCATGAGAAGCGAAGCGGAAGGGAGGGACCAAAACAAACGATTAAGAAGACACACACAGACGGCTAATCTTTTTCATTTTCATCTCACCCGGACGCAAGAGTTTCTTTTTTATCATGGCGGCCTGGAATGAAGAACGTGAAGACCAACTAATCAGCTTGATCCAGGAGAGGCCACCTTTTTTTTTTTACAGAGTTTTTTTTTTTTATTGTATTGCACACTATTGACTCTTTTGATCGTATTGTATTTTTGTATTGTCTGTACACTGTACAGTTCTTTGGATAATAATAAATAAACCACTTTTTACCGCTACTGCAAAATGCAAAACTTTATTTCGTACCTTCATACTACAGCCATTAGAGAATGAGGATACAATTAGCTATACTACAATAAAAGTCAGAAGATACATCATTTGCCTGTCAGTGTTATTTATATATATCTTTGATTATAATGACTGATGCATGGAGTGTGGTAGCAGCAGTACTTTAAGGTTGCCAGCCACAATGCTTAAGTTTCTTTCTGCTTCAGAGAGCTGAAGTGGAGGAGCTGATTTAAATGACATTATATACTGCTGGGTAGCTTGTGAAATTCACCATGGAATCAATAACATTGTATCTTAACCTATAATAATAATGATAAACAATTTCTTGATTATATTTTGTAGTATTCTGAATCTTCAAAGTTACCAAATAAAAGTAGCCTACACCATTTGCCTGAATGGGAGTGGAGCAGTACAGTACTTAAGTAAATGTACTTTGTTAATGTCTACCACTGTTCATTGTTCATTTACCTATTGTGAGCATCACATGGAAATGTACATTTGCAAGACGGTTACGATACATGTTTTCGATCGACGAGAGAGTGAGAACGGGCCCCAGACGCTATTTGTTGTTTGTTTATATCACGCAGTCTGTTCTTCTTCTCTCGGTGTATCGCGCAGTCTGTTTTCCGGTTGTTGCCTCTTTTGAATGACGAATACACACTACCGCTGCCTGCTGGTAAGGACAGTTATTGCCACTCGTCGACTGAAGTCTTTGCGGTGTGTTCGTAGGCGGGCGGCGTAGCCGACGTAAAAGTCGGGACGCCTTCGGTACGCGTTCTTTGGTCTCAGGTGGGTGTGTAGCGGCCTTAAAACGTTTAAAAAGACGCTCAAATGTCATTTTTTACTGAACACACAAAACAAAACACGGACAAACCTCATGCTTTCACCAGCCAGCTGATAAACCATCCCATAACTCCACCCTTCCTTAGTTTGGAGAGGTTTCACCCTGCTAACCTGTCACCGGCGATGCACCTTCAAAATAAAAGCCCCGATTTTCAAAGTAAAACTAAAGCCACAAATAATTTCACCTTCTCAAAAAAAATAATGAAAACCAAAAATTAGAAGACGATCTTTTACATGTTTTACTTATTATTGATGGATCCCTCTGCTTCCACTCCTACTGTTATTTATTCATTGTTTTACTTTATTATTTGTCCCTTTTGTTTGTTTGTTTGTATTTTTACAATACAAAAAAGTCTTATGAAAGTATTAAATGTAGATATCCAAGTCAAACTGATACGTGCCATACTTGAATACATTTACTTTCCTCCACTGGATGACGTTTTTTCTGTCATTTGTTTTAAAAAACTTAATTTAGATTCAAAGTTTTGTTCATTTTATCCAAACAAGAGATTTTCCTATAAACATGGACATTTGTATTTATGTGTAGGCAAAGTGTGGCGTGCCTTTATCCTATTTAATTCACATGTATTGCACAGAAAGGCGGTTAACTCTGCTTTAATGTAAAACAGAAACAAAGAGTGGAGATTATTCCCAGTATCAATATTCACACAGCGTCTCTCTCCAGAAACTTCCTCCACCGTGAGATCCTTTCCAGCAGATGAATCCTCCAGCTGCTCTTTTGAGTCCCTTTTTAACCTCGGCTGGTTTACTTCACATTCAGCGTGGATCAGCTGCAGAGTGGGAGTGTGACTCTCCCAAAATGAAGTTATAATGTGATTCTGCGGACCACTGGCTCGGTGCTGATGTGGCATCACGTTGAACTAACCTGCATTTCTACAGGAAATACAATCTGACCTGCATACCAACCACAGGCTGCACAGCTCAGCAGGAACATCTAACTTTAGGGGTGGGCGGGGGGGCCTTCTGTCCCGGCAGATGGACCGCTTCCAGCCTTTAAAACGCCTTGAATAAATCATATATCTAATAATATTCCAGTAATGTCCATGTATTATAGTGCAAGCAGTTTTTGGAGTGGGTAAAACACATATTACTTGACCTAATCATGTGGCGTGTGTTTTATTCATGGTAGCTTTAATACTCAACCAGCAGAGGTGGATTAGAAGTATATTTAACTTGTAAGTACTTGTAACTGATGACTAAGTATTTAATACTTACTTGGCAATGGGAGACTGAATAAAATACATGAACTTAAATGGAAAAACTACAAATGTGTAAGCATCAATACCAAAAGTACCAAAACAATAGTACTTGCAGAACTGCAGGATAATATAATGTATATAAAAAAGTCCAAATATACATGTACTGTATTTGGATTATTGAATAATGTATATGTTGCAGCTGGGTAGTCATTTCCCCAAGGGGATCAATAACACTACTCTTACCTTAAAAAAAACCTTCATCATTTATTTATTTTCTTTTATTTTGGAGTTACGAAAAAACGTAAAAAAAAACATGTTTTTAAAATAGTAGTTTTTTTTTCTTTATTTCATGGCATGTCTTCTGTCCGACTGGTGGAAATAAAACACATCCAGGAGTTTATCTTACTAACTTTGTCTGTTTGTGTCTCCTACATAACACGTCAAAAAACGTGTAATATAACAAATGATTGTGTTAATGTCATTAATGAAGTAGTGAAGGCTGTGGCTCAGTGGATAGTGTGCTGGACTTCGAATCAGGGGATAGCAAGTTCAGACCCCACTGCAGTCAGCATGTCGTTGTGTCCCTGAGACACTTCACCCCAAAGTGCTCCTGTGGGGATTGCCCACAGGATTGAGTATGTCAGTCGCTTTGGATAAAAGCATGTAACAAGTAACATGTCATGTAATGTAATGGGAAGCTTCATGGTGATATCTGTTAGTTACATGTTTTACCCTATTCACCTGTAAGTAATACGTGCATTTCCGTTGTATTCTAATGTATGTACTTATCATAGAGTTTGTGTATTTTATGTTGAGTGTTATGTTATTTAAATGCCCCTGCAGGGACATGCATTGCACATAAGCTCATGCTGTAAATGCATTACAATGGTTTCTGCTTCCCATATATAATACGTAAAGAATGAATACATGTACACAGTATCAGTCCCAAACTCCCAATAGTCTGCAAGTCTTACAGAATGATTATAGGAACCTTAAACACAAGATGATTTGCAAAGATATGCACTGTTTCTACTTAGATAAGTGGGTTATTAATTTAATATATTGTTATTATTCATATTCTTAATGATTAAATGTGTACATTTACAAAAAGTTGGTCTGAAGCAAACGTAAAAATAAATACAGAGTAATGTTTGTTGATAAGCACTATCAATTAAATGTATTATTATTATCATTACATTTATGTCCTGAACGTTGGCATGACACAGATTTTATTTTTTTAACTGGTCATAAACTAATGACTACAACACTGCTGAAACACAGCATTACAGTTCATAAGAATTCATTCTAATCACAATAATAAAACAAATGACTGTGACTCTGTCCATGGGGCTGATTCAACTCTTGCTTCACTATAATAATATATTTCATTCACTTCCTGCAGGAATATCAAAGTGCAAGAGACACAAAAAAGAGTACTGTAAGTCTCATCATGAATATATGAATACTAACACACTGAGGGGAATCCCAACCGCAGGCAGCAGAGTGAGGAGAGGGGGGGCATTAACACGATTCAGGCAGGAAATAGCATTATAACAGCATTATAGGAACAGGTGCAGAAAGTCACTTTAGTTGAAGCATTAGATGTCTAAAAACATTTAAAGTGCACACTTTTCACAACATTACGGTGAATAATCAAGGTGTTTCTTGTATGTTGTTGTATTTTCCTAACTGCATTTTATTGCATATTCGTGATGAACAGTATTGTGGTTTCATGATAGGAAGATCTATTCAGTCTCTGGGCAGGCAGCGAACCAGTTTCATGCTTTGTATCATGTTGAAATGCAGTCCCCATCAATATTCAAATTCAATCAAAAACACTACTGGGATATAAAGGGGAGAGCCTTACAGCCGCTGGTTTGATATTAAAGAAAGTGTATATTTTATCTCATGTAAAAGCTACAAGAGTTGTAAAATAGCAATATCTATATAATCTATGTGCAGAAAAACAGTTGCATGCTTTGTTTATATGTTTAAATGCAAATACAAATACAAATACATTAAAATCAAAATGCATGGGATGTAAAGCTGAGCCTCAGTGCGTCATTATGTGGATGCATGCTCATGACTGATCAGAAATACAGGGAAATTAAAAAGTCGTATACATACATATATAAGATATTGCAGTATTCCTGCAGGACAGGTGCCCCCTCCCATCCCTCACCCCTCACTCACCTATGTGGATGTTACTTGGGAAACTTGTGCCGCTGCAGAGCCTCAGCAGCAGCAGCAGCACCGGGAGAACCGGGAAAACCGGGAGGACCGGGCAGCTCCGCATGTTTCCTCCAGCAGATGCGGACCGACCGGCGGAGTCCCATTCACCGCGGGGCCGCCTGAGAGTCACCGCAGCCCGGGGAAACTCTCACACATCCACCGGTACTACGCTCTCTCTGCGGAGCTCCGATAACACATCCAGAGACTCTGAGCCTCTGAAACCTCTCTCTCTCACCCCTTCTTCAAATCTCTCTCTCTCTCTCTCTCTCTCTCTCTCTCTCTCTCTCTCTCTCTCTCTCTCTCTCTCTCTCTCTCTCTCTCTCTCTCTCTCTCTCTCTCTCTCTCACCCCTTCTTCAAATCTCTCTCTCTCTCTCACACACACACACACACCTCCCTCTCTCTCTCCCCTTCTTACAATCTCTCTCCTCCTTTTCTGTGTATCCCTCCCTCACTTTCTCTCTCTCTTTCTTCCAATCTCTCTCCCTCCTCCTTTTCGGACCTCTCTCTCTCTCTCTCACACACACACACACACACACACACACACACACACACACACACACACACACACACACACACTCACACACACACTCACACACACACACACACACACACACACACCCTTATCTTTACCCTCTCTCCCCAACTCTTCCTCCCTCTCCCATTTAATTTGTGTACACTTTTACTAAAGGCTCAAGACACTTTTCAGCCCGAAAAACTGGCAGGATTTTCAGAGAGAGAATACTTAAACGTTCTCACTTCCCCTTTCTCAATTCATTTAATTAAAATAGACAAGAGGCAAAACTGATGGATAAAGGGACATGTGAAATATTAAAGTTGTAAGCGTAACGCCACCTAGCTGCTGCATTTGACTCGAATAAGAATGAGCGCCGACTCCAGCTTACGTTATCAACAAAATATTAAAGCCAAATTCTGAATTATACTGAGACCTTAGTGAAATATTTATTTGGTCACACCTGTTGTGTATTTATGTTGAGGGCGATGGTGTGAATCTATTGTTTTGAAGGTAAGAAAATGATTTTCTTTTAATGCCGTTAGTTCTGCTGGTATTTGGTACAAAAGCCAATATTTAAAAACGTTACCTGATGTTAGAGCCACATGAAAAAGTCAGAGGATCACCAAAGTCCTCACGAGTTGCCATGAGGGGAATATGAATGGGTTTACCACATGTCATGGCAACACAAAGAATAGTTGTCGAGATACAGTACGCCAATCAAACAAATTGGTGACCAGGAAATGGTTTAGTGTCCCGTGTGTTTCTCACATTGTTGGATCATCGTTCATACCTTCAGTAAAAACACCAGCATGTCTTCTTCATCAGCGGCAGAACAGCCACATGTTAACCTGTTGGTTTCAAATCAGAGAATGGCCGTCCTCCTACACAGTTAGCCCACACGAGGAATAATGGGAACGCTGGTAATCCCCCTTTTTATTATTTGTATTCTCTCTATATCGAGCCAATTGACTTCCATAAAGCAGAGCTTTTTCATCCACATCTCTGCCTCAGTTATGTATCTGCTCTCACTAACAGGCAGCGTAGGAGGATCCACTGGAAACTAGTGGTGACACAAGTGGAGAATGAAACGTCTTGTTTATCTGTTTGTAGGAAGCAGAGCCCTTTTGATGTCTAAATCAAGAAATTAGCTACACAAATTAGTTTGATTGAACACGTTGTAGAAAATCTCCCTGACATGAAAAACAGTTAAGACTATAAATGATCCGTACTATCCAATCCAATCCAATCCAATCCAATCCAATCCAATCCAACTTTATTTATACAGCACTTTAAACCCTCCAGACCAAAGTGCTGTATGAGAGATACATACAATATAAAATCACACAGCTCAGCTCACAAAACATAAAAATAAGTATAAAATCACATAAAAGATACGAAACACAAAACAAACAAGAATAAACGTAACAATTACAAAATACAAATAAAAACATAAAAACAACCATATAGTAAAAACAATAGACCACGGAAAGCAAATAAAAGCAACAATCTACTTGTTTACGAATGCTAAGGAGAAGAGGTGGGTAACAGACAGTGTGGGAGCCTGTCTGATTAGCAAGGGCAGGTTCAAAGTTATACTTATGCTAATATGACTTTAGGTCCAAAGAGGGAGCCAAAATAATGTCTTAATTACATATTTGGCGTGAAAGCAGCAAGGTGCATCTCCATGATATTTGGATGATTGGCAGCAGCTCTCTAAAAAGATGTTGATATGACAAACTGTATACATGTTTGCAACTCAATGCAATTCTCCGTGGGGCGAAATATGAATTTGAGCCAGAAATAAAGAAAGCAGAACAAATAGCAAAGAGTAGAAGACACATGGGGTCCAATGGAGGCGTTTCAGGGGGGTTTGTGGGAGAGAAACTCCCTCTGGAGGGACACAGGGATTTTAGCCTCTGCTGACCATTTACATGCACTGAAACCTATTGAACACTACAGGAGAGGGAAAAGCCCAAAAAGCAAAATAGGACCTCTTCGAACATGACAGAGATTGGACTATTGTTTGCAAAGGTGACAAGTGTGCCAGAAACTAAAACCTTTACAAACAATAAAAACATCATCAATCATTAAAGGCTGCCAGGATCAGGGAAAGGGCGTGACCCCCATTATAAATGTGCATTTGTTAGCACGAAAAACCTTTCTGTGTAGCTGCAGGTGGCTGATCTTTGGGAATTTCACTGTTTTTGCAAAGGCTTCTTTTTGTGCAAATGTCTTTTTGCATCAAATCCATGCATCGTGCCGAAATGAAATAGTGGCACAGGACTGCATTTGCTTGGTAGTGCAGTTAGAGGTGCATTTCGTCCTTTAATAAATGCAGGTTGTTTTTGTCTTCGCTGTGCACGTTTAGTGGCCTCAACATTTGAACTGAAAGGTCTGATGAGTCAGTAGCGGCAGAATCAGAGGTTGTTAGCGCTGTAAATCCTTCATTGTTGAGTCTGCTGTCTCCTCGCCTCATTGAGACTGTAATTAGCTCTGAGTGTAATTAGCTGAGGCGGCACATGAGCATCAAACAATAATCTGACGGCTGCTCAGCGATATGATCAGGAAGAGATTCAGCTGCGATTGGACCCCAACGAGAAGAAATGTCATCATACAATAGCTGGAGGTCAAAAAACTGAACCGAGGTGTTGGAATTTAATAGACCTTGTTATTCATTCATCCTACACTTACATTTATGACTTTTAAAGGTGAGTTTTGACAGCTTGAATGCAAATTGAGTGTCTATTCCCACTTTGTAAAATGATGTTCTTGCTAAATTAGGGTGAGAAGTAATTTTCTTTCTTTCTTTACTATCACATTCCAAAAGCAGTTTCTTCCAATTCTTCACAATAAAACAAATTCTTTAGTTTTTCAGATAATTCGGGGAGATAATGTTGATCTGATGATGGCGCTGGATTAAAAGTCAGCCGTGTTCATCCTCTGCGGAACATGAGTGTATTTGTAAAAGTGTAATGCAAATCCAAACGTGGCTGAGGTATTTTAATCTGGACAGAAGTTGTTGACCAACCAACAGCATCACCTTTCTTAATGCAGTAAAAGATAATGCTATTCTGGATTTAATTACATTTTGGCTTTGATTTTAGGTTTAGGATCTTGACTAGTTTGGCACTAGCAAACACCCCAATTCAGATCAGTTAAAACATGTGATGGGTTTAGCCAATGCTTCACCCTCTCACCAAGTCTTAGAAAGATGGGACTTGTAGTTTTCCTGTAATCCTGTTGATGAACAAAACAACTGAAAAGGCTCAGACATAACCTGGAGGAAGTATTGAGGGTTTGGGATATATTTATTTGAGTCAAACCAACAATCAATGGCTCTAACCCCAACCCTTTCCAATCCACGTTACTGTCATGTAATCTGTAGAGAAGCACTGAAGTCTCCCCATGTTTCTCGTCACTATAATCTGCTTTAACTCGAGACCTCACGTCCGCTTTGTTCCACTTTGTGCTGTTTAGTTGGACATGAATCGTCCAGATGCAGCTTTGTTTGCCCTCAGGTCTGACAAACAATACTCCCATACATTAAATTATCTGAAAGCGCGCGAAGCCTCATGAAAGAATTATGATTTTAATCTGTTTTCCATACAGGATGATGGGAAGATGAATAAATGATGGCGCATTGTGCCCACACAGCGCTATTGTCCGCTGCACAGAGTATGTAAAGTGTGTGTACAGCGCTCAGAGTGTAAATCATAGATGGACTCTGCTGATGATGTAGCTTTGTTGTTCTCCCCCCCTCACCTCCCCCCTCTCCCCCCCTCTCACCTGTCACTTATATTTACACTGATGTGCCCTACACAAGTTCACATGTTGTAAACAGACATGTAATTATACTGCTGTAGAGATGCTTTATTCCTTCTAGAAGTTCTTCACACCTGCTTCGGTATCAGTCCGCTGAAATCCATCTGACGGCCATTAAAGAGGCCCTTTTCAAAGTCAAAGTCAACTTTATTGTCAATCTTTCAGTTTGTGTGTACGGACAGAGATCGAAATACCGTTTCCCACAATCCTGAGGAATACAAATATGTATAAGAATATGTATAAAATATGTATATACATATATATACACAATCAACAGACACATGTATACATATGCACACATTAAAGGTCACCTATCATGCTATTTTTAGGCAATAGCATAGGTCTCAGATATATACAAATATATAAAAAACATGTCTATGAAGTGTTTTGCTCAAAATACCAAACGGATCACCCATTCTAGCCATGCCTCATATCCCTCTATTTCACTTCCTGTTTCAAAAGTGCTGCTTCTGGGTATAAACAGGTCTCTCTTGAGAATGAGACCCTGTGTCTCAATGAGATGTTCACCTGTATAAATAAAGGCTAAATTAAAATTAAAATAAGAGGGGGCGGAGCTTATGCCGGCTCATGCAGGACCTGGCAGATACTGTCTAAAATGCTGCGGTGATGAAACGCAAGGATTATTAGATCAAGGATTATCTCTGAAACAGTATGGAGCTCAAAGGCTTTCTCTCTTGCCGGTTATACCACAAGGTGAGTTCCTTTTTATTTCCTGCTTCTTCACACACATGCTCTCCAGTACAGGTTAGCTCTGAGTGTTAGCGATGCTAATGTAAACACCAGAACAACCAGAACAACATTTCTGATAGGGCTGTGGGTCCGCATTTTCCGATATTACGTCATATCGGACGCA